CGTTGATATGGAACAAGTTTATCAGATAATTCTGTAAATTCTGAACGCTTACTATGGAAAAATATGAGTTTGCATGGTTGGTGATTTATCAGAGTAAACGCATTCAAGCACCTTGTTGGCTTCGCGAAACTTCAATTTTTTTAGTTTTAGTAATTTGCAATAATTTCTTAAGTGATGATTGGTCTAAATTTTGAAAAAAAGTGAATTTTAATATATCTCGACAGCACCGAAGGATTCGCTTTGCGCAACAGATGCGGTAGTCATGTATTGACTGACGGCTACCCTACTAAGCAATTTTCAATTTATCGAGTTTCATCGTTACTGCCTTACCTATGCCTATTTCCGTGGTATGGCGTTAGGTTTGGAATCATGGGAGAGTCTGTGGTAAGAATCCATTCCAATCTTCTATGGCTGAAAAACAAAATTTTAAGTGTGAAAATGGCGAAAAAAATTGAAAAACTCCTCCTCGACTACAAGAGCCTAAAAAATTGTTGTTGCTAGTTCAAAAAACTTCAATTTTTCATTGCTTCCATAAACGTCACATGAGTGTTTCTCAACTTCTAACTATGAAATGTCGCTTTTCAACCTATTGGCTAAGGGCGCATGCCCCTCTCGTCATTTCTTCATTATTCAGCCGCATTCTTTGTGTGGATATCCTATTCTCCTTAATAATTTTCGTCATTCCCACAGCTGCCGCTCTTACTGAGCGCTGGGGCAGCATTGTCATTCTTCACAGCTTCGCCGCTGCACACACATCTCATTTCGTGTTCTTTTCGTGGCAATTTGTTCCTCAAGAGCGTGTGCATATCGCAAATGTTGATCATCTGTAACGTCTTCTGTAGTTTTCAGATGACGTGATGCTGTCGTCGTCGTTTGTCGAACACGCAGCACTCGGCTTCGCCTTTGCCGTGCTCTCATTATTTGTATTAGCTTTCGCTATTATTGCTGTCGTACTTGTAACGATCACTAACAACTGCTGGTGGAATTGTGGTGAGTTTTTTCAAACTCAGAAAAGCGCTTTAACA